CATAAACGGGGAGAAATAAGAATGGGGTCGCGTCACAAGCGGTGTTCCTCGGGGGTCAGTGTTGGGTCCTTTGTTGTTCAGAATTTACATAAACGATATATATAAAAAGGAATAAATAGCGATGTAAGCGAGTTTAACGACGACTCAACATAGGTAGTCGAATTTTTTTGACGAGTACGCTTGAGTTTTTGCAGGAAGATGTAAAATAGACTAATGCAGTGGTCGGTGAATTTGGTGTATGAAGCTAGTGTAGACAAATGTAAAGTTCTTTGTTTTGGAAATTAATATAAGCCTGACACTTATATGTAAATAATTTTAGATTTAAATATGTACTGACTTCAAAAAAAAAAAAGGGAAGTTCTGGTTATCAGTAATTTAAAATCAAGACAAGAGTGGTAAGGGGTTGTCAATAAAGCAAATAAAATTTCTGGGCTTCATATCAAGACGCATAAATAATTTGGAGCCATCTGGTTACCCTTTCAACTTTATGTGTCGTTGGTTAGACTTTATTTAGTTTATGCTGCACGGTCTGGTCAGTTTAAAGATAAAATTTTATACTGGAAAACGTACAAAGGAGGATGACAAAGTTGATCCCATGTATCAGAAATCTTCCCTATGAGGACAGATTGTAGGTTATGTATCTCCACTCCTTGCATTGTTACTCGATTAAAAGGGACAACGGCCCTATCATTTAACACTTTGCAGAGAGTCTTTAAACTGTAAACACCCTCCTGTATAGTAAGGTATGTTATGTAGCAGAACTTTTACCCTTTAATACCGTGGTGATACGAAGGATTCAGGGAAAGGAAGTTCTTGTGGTCCTCAAAGTGTAAAATGGTTTGCGGAGGGAAGTCATCAAGATGCCAGTAAAAAGGGGGAGGTGTGGGTTATTCGATCTTCGAAAACGCTTGTTGTGTGTTTTATTTAAAAGGTCAGTGCTGCAAGAGGGACGTCTTGAGCGTGTTTATGCTGTGTTATTTATAACTTTTAGAGGGTTAGATTTTCGAGATTGTTTGCGGCGTTGAGGGAGTGATGTCGGTGAGGGAGCCGGGACAAAATAAGATTGGGTTTTGTGTAGCGTGTGGTGGGAGATATAAGGGCTCCTGTAGTTTCCTTATATCCCATGTATAACTGGGAGAGTATTTGGAATATGTTTGCGAAATTACACATCCCTCAGAGGGAACGAGAAGTTATGTGTAAGTTTTTACATGGAATTTTGCCTGCTCGAGTGTTGTTATTGTATAGGAAGGTGGTGGAGGATGGAGCCTCTAAAGTTTATGGGGTTGATGAGACTGCAATTTATGTAGTATACTTCTGTGGGTGTTATGAGGGAGTGAGGTGATGGCTCACTCGTGTGCTAATTTTGGTGACAGGTAGTAGGAATGTTTCAGTACTAAGGGCGTTGAGTTTAGACTTGAGTGGTGTTACTGATACAGCAGCGAGAGCTGCAGCTGTGTTGTTGTTGATTATATTTATATCATGCGGGCTTTTACGTGAGGGAGGAGATATGGAAGCGCAACGTCGTATTCTGGCGGCGAAGTTTTATAGAACAATGTGTAGGAATAAACTGTTGTATGGCAGTACGCTGGGGAAGAGTTTCACGAGGGATTATTTGAGTATTAGTGTCAGGTATCTGCTAGCATTATGACCGTAGTGGAGCCAGTTCCTGGAGGTACTGGGCTCCTGGTGGGTGGGGAGAATGGGCAACGGGGTTTGGTGGGGTTCAGAGGCATTTGAGTTCCTGGAGGGGGAGGGGTTGGTGCTCAACATGTATGGTGAATGTGTGTGGGTAAAACAACCCAGGATTCCAAATGGCCTGTTATCCCGGGTGTAATGGGAGCAAAATAAACACAGTAGAAAAAGTTTAGACTTATATTATCCTTCACCAATTTAGAACAGCAATATGTACACTATGTACAGTGATAAGTATAGTGCACTCCACGGTAAGAAAGGCAGAAATAGAAGCCACAAGATAGCAGACCGTGCTTCAACCAGCTCTAGAATGGGAATGACAAGGGCAGACAGGAGAGCGGTACACACATAACCTCTGCGATTGCCACCATCTTCTTATTGGCTAGAACCTGGTCACTAGTTGAACGACGGGGCCCCATCATCAACTCTTAGCAACCTGGTTCGCTGGTTGGGGGAGATAGCCTGTAAATGAGGGTGTGTACATGCGCCGAATAAAGGTTACATCATACTCTTTGCATGCCACAGTGGGTTGTATCACATTGTAGTTTGAAAGTTTGGTTTGCAGTAAATGTAACCTACATGAGGTTCCGTTTACACTGGGTGGTAGTGTGTATCTGTACACGTGTGTGTGTGTGTGTGTACTCACCTATTTGTACTCACCTATTTGAGGCTGCAGGGGTCAAGTCATAGCTCTTGGCCCTGCCTCTTCACTGATTGCTACTGGGTTCTCTCTCTCCCTGCTCCATGAGCTTTATCAAACCTCGTCTTAAAACTATGTATGGTTCCCACCTCCACTACGTCACTTTCTAGGCTATTCCACTACCTAACAACTCTATGACTGAAGAAATACTTTCCTAACATCCCTTTGACTTATCTGAGTCTTCATCTTCCAATTGTGACCTCTTGTTTCTGAGTGTGTGTGGGTGTGTATGTGTGAGTGTGTGTGTGTGTGTGCGTGTGGGTGTGTGTGGGTGTGTGTTGATGAGTACATACATAGGTTACTATAGGAACGAGAGTAAAGACTGTGTATGTGTGAAGGAATATATATGTCCAGCTGGTGCAGTCCTGAGGACTGGACCAGCTGGACATAGTGGTCCAGGTGATGAAACAGGTATAGACAATGATAAACAAATTCCAGAGGTACAAGGTAGCACTGCTGTTTTAATAAAAAGGGCCGATGTTTCAGGGAAGAGTGTCGATACATTAGTAGAAAAATCTGGAGGAAACACTGATGTCAGTACAATGGGTGTAGGTAATGGTGAGACAGAAAAAATGCACCTGTAGGGAATGCAGCCACAAAAAAATCATAAACGGAAATCAAATCAATGCATATTCTATGCTTTGAGTATCTGCAGGCATGGAATATCTGCAAGAACAGGTGGGACATGCACTTTTGTACATCTCAAAAAATGCAACACACACGTGACAAAAGGAGAATGTAACTCCTCTTCCTGTAACTTTTTTCACCCTGAAATGTGTCGCTCTTCAGTCCAGGAAAACCAATGCTACAACATATGTTGTCAGGTGCACCATCTAAAGGGGACGAGATGATACAGATCACCCTTATGGAAAATAAACTAGGGAGTCATTCCAGAGACAGAGGTTTTCTAGTGCCTAGAAGAAAAGGAAACTGGTAATAAATTACAGAAATCCTACACACGCTCAAAACACTTCTGGAGCGCAGGCACAGTTACAAGCCTCCACAACAGAACAACATATATTAATGCCAGCAAACCCCCCCCCCCCTACGTACCCTCAGCACAGAGACATTTATCTTAGCAAACATTCAAGGTCTTAAGCCATCAACAAACAACAAAATACCTTTCATCAAGGGGCTGCTCACAGAGGCCTACATAAAGGATCACTTTCACAACAAAATATGTGACAGAGCAACAGGCAAGTAAGGGGATGTTGTTGACCTGTATGTCACAGAGTCGGTCATTTGTTCGGAGCTACTAAACTCCTCAAATGATGTAGTTGAAGTTTTGGCAGTAAAGATCGAAAACTAAAACCTTGTCATCTTGCTGCTGGGCGGTTTCAACTTAAGACACCTAACGTGGAAGAGTGTAGCAAATAATGTTTCCGCAGAAATAATCCCAGGAGTCAGCTCCAACGAAAATTCACACACACATGAGCTATTAAATCGCTGCAACAAATTTACTTTAAACCAGCAAATAATAGAACCAACAAGACTGGAAAATACACTAGACCTCATCTTCACCAACAATGACGATCTGATTCGGAATGTAACAGTATCAAAGACAATTAACTTCAACCACAACATAACAGAGGTACAATCATGTACACGCAGGACTCCTGACCAGCAAAATGTGATCAGTTACAAGGAAGCCTTCACCAAATTGAACTTCAGTAACGAAAACATACAATGGGAACAAGTCAACCATGTCCTAAACGAAACATGATGATAAGATATTCAAAACAACATGGATCCAAACCTTTACCAAGAAAGAATTAACTCTCCGGCACTTGAGGTCTGCTCACGACACGTTCCTTAAAAAAAGGAAGAGAAGATGTGAACTAGAAAGAGAAACTCCATATACAGGAAAGATAAAGAATTACAAAGCTGCTGAGAGGGGCTAATATATCTGTAATACGCAGGGAGACACTAGTTAGAGAAACAGCAAATATCGAACTTAAATTAATATGATTCAACGGAAATTAAAATTCCACACTATTTTACCCATAAAATTAGCAAATGTGCACCAACATACAGACCGGAATTTCACTCTACACTCACTGAATTAGGAGATCCATTTTTTTAAAGTTTGAAGCTACGCCGCAGAGGATTTTGGAAATTACTGGAGTCAATCCAGGACGTTGGGCACTTGTACATGTCAAGTGTTACTAGAAATCTTGCCCTAGTTACCGCATTCGATCAGATGAGGCTTTCTGGTGTCACGAGAGAAGTAAAATTCGATAAGGTAATACAAAAATCTAGCAATCAATGGTTGTCCTTCGGGAATATATAATTATAAGTTATTGTGTATAAACAGATGATAAGCTTTGTTATGAGTGAGACATTGCAACTACGTAATTACAAATTTTATCAAGAAGTGTGATATACCTGATGGTTAGGAAATGATGCAACAATGGCAGGCGAACCAACAACATTATCACTACAAACTACTAACAAGTATAGGTAAAATATTATCACGCTTGAATTACATTGTTAATAATTCCCTGACCTTTATCAATCAGGTCTAAGTTTAGCTGGGATTCCGCAAATACTATTGAGATGATATCTGTATGTTTTGGTGTAAGGTGCATCAGTTCATTCAGCTGATAACCACAGTCTAAAGTCCATGTGGAAGACTACACCAGCCAGCAGCACCACTCGCAGCCAGCGACCCTAGTGACAGGTTGTGCTTGGGATCCTCCCCTAATCATTTAATATTATCCTCATAGTGTGGCTGTCAGGTGAGTTTGCTTCTCTCTGGTCCAGAGAGAAGCAAAGTATTGTCATTTCTTCATTTCATTTGCTGTTTTTCCTACCAGTTCTCTTTAACACTGTACCTGTAAAGGAAAGTCCTCATGCCTGTGTAGTTCCCTCTTTTATAGTTTGGCTTCTCCCGTCATACTCGTGCTGCTTCACTCTCCACTCTTAACTCTACAATGTATTCAAAGTTCAAAACCACATGATCACTAGCTCCGAGGGGCCTTTCATATGTGATTTCCTCAGTGTCAGAACTGCTGAAGGTGAATATGAGGTACACCCTTGCTGGTTCGTCCCCTCCTCTCTCTCTCTGGTAGTGTCCCTGACATGATGATGCATGAGGTTTTCCAATACCAACTCCATCATCTTAGCTCTCAACGTTTCTGGTCCCCCATGTGGCTCCAGGTTTCCCCAGCTAATCTCTTTGTGATTGAAATCACCCATAATTCTGGCCTGCCCATATGGGCCCTTCTGACCACCTCAGCTAGTGTGTCCACCACTGCTCTATTGCTCTCATCATATTCTACTCTTAGCCTCCTGCTATTCTCTAGCGGGTTGTACATCACTTCAATCACCTCCCTGAGACCTTTAGTTTGAAATGTTGCTACTTTGTAGTCCCTTGCTTCCAGTCTGTTCAGTTCCTCAAATCTCCACTGATTTTTGATGACCAGTACACCTCCTCCCTGTCTGCTCAGTCTATCTTTCTTCAGCATCTGATATCCAGATGGAAAGATTGCATCTGTTATCCTCTACATTACCTTCGTTTCCGTGAATGTTATGATGTATGGAGATGTCTCTATGATTCTTTCATCCCATTCTTCACATTTATTTGTTATTCCATCTGTGTTGGTGTACTAAGCCTTCAGCTTCTTTTCAAATACTGTGGTCTGGGTCATTTTGTGGGGGATTGGGGAAGTGAGAGGCCTGGCAAGATATTATGGGGGGCTGCTGTGAAGGTGGAATTTATGGTGGGTACGGAATGCTGGCTGTTTTGGGTTAGTTTGCTTGGTTGCAGTGGGGCTGTCGGTGTTGAGGGTCTTTTGTAGCTGGTTCTGAGGGAGGCTGTGTTTGCTTTTCCTTCTGAGTCTGAGTCCCTCTGTCCATCTACATGCTTGACTCTCTTTCCTGCTCCTTGTGTCTTTGTATGCACTCTCTCAGGTTCTGTCTTTCTTCTTGTATTCTGTTGCAGTCGAGGTACACCCTCTGATAATTTTATGAGCCCCTTGGTTGTGCTTCTGCAGAATCCTATTTTGCATTATTTCTGACTTAAAAATCGTTTTGACTGGACAATTTCTTCTCTTGAGAACCCCCCTGTTCTCTTAAAATTTGTCATCAGGGTCATGTCTTCCTCTCCTATGTCTTTCATGATATTATCAATCCCTTTTAGCTCCCCCAATTGTCATACTTCATAAGTTGCCCCTTAAGCCTCCCAGAGCCCATGAACAATGATTTATCTCTCACTTTCATCCTCCTATTGGTTTTCCCTTCGTATCTCATGATCTGATTTACGTATCTCCATTGCTGCTTTCCTTAACATTTCCTGGATGTCTCATTCGGAACCTGTATTCTTCCCTTCCTTCAGTCCCCTCTCTGTCTGCTGTCCCTGTTCCCAGTAGCCTAACATTTTCACCCCTTATCTTTTTCTCAGGCCCCCAGTGGTCTGATATGGCCTTTTTGTATGACTTATTTCGTTCCCCTCTTTTGGTCTCCTCGTTGGTTGCTAATGTTCTTGTTCTTGATGGCATGCCCATTCTGCTCTTCAGTTCTTTGATCTGTTTTAGAATTTCCAGTTCATCTTCTAAGTTTTGTATCTTAGCCTCAGCAGCTGTGGCTTGTAGCTCTCACCTCTTGCTCTCTGCAGCCATCCTCTCCTCCATTTTTTTGCTAAGATCTTCTACCCTTCTTTCCCACTCTTGTTCCCTTTTTATAAACTCTGCTCTCCATTCTTCCTTCCTAGACTCTTCCTCAGATAATCTGACTTTCTATCCTACTCATTGGGATCAATTTTTTATTTTTTTATTTTTGCTTGTTACCACGAAATGTAAAGGTTATATACATTTGTGTGTGTGTGTAAATAGAGTGTGTACTCACCTATTTGTGGCTGCAGGGGTCGAGTCTTAGCTCCTGGCCCTGCCTCTTCACTGGTTGCTACTGGGACCTCTCTCTCCCTGCTCCATGAGCTTTATCAAACCTCGTCTTAAAACTATGTATGGTTCCCGCCTCCACTACGTCACTTTCTAGGTTATTCCATGGCCTGACAATTCTATGACTGCAGAAATACTTCCCAACATCCCTTTGACTCATCTTAGTCTTCAACTTCCAAGTGTGACCTCTTGTTTCTGTGTCCCCTCCCTGGAACATCCTGTCTTTGACCACCTTGTCTATTCTGCGCAGTATTTTATATGTCGTTATCATGTCTCCCCTGACCCTCCTGTCCTCCAGTGTCGTCAGGCCGATTTCCCTTAACCTTTCTTCATAGAACATTTCCCTTAACTCTGGAACTAACCTTGTCGCAAACCTTTGCGACAAGGTGTGTGTGTGTGTGTTTGTGTGTGTACTAACTTAATTGTGGTTGCAGGTATCGATTCATAGCTCCTGGTCCTGCCCCTTTATTGGTTGCTGCTAGATCTACTCTCTCCCTGCTTCATGAGCTTCATTATACCTCTTCATAAAGCTATGAATGGATCCTGATTCAACTATATCACTCTCCAGAATATTCAATCTTCCTGAACTCTCTTTGACTGAAGAAATACTTCCTAACATACTTATGATTCATATGAGTCTTCAACTTCCAGTTGTGACCCCTTGTTGCTGTGTCCCATCTCTGGAACATCCTGTCTCGGTCCACCCTGTCAATTCCTCTCAGTATTTTATATGTCGTTATCATATCCTCCCTATCTCTCCTGTCCTCCATTGTCGTCAGGTCGATTTCCCTTAACATACCCCTTAGTTCCGAGACTAGTCTTGTTGCAAACCTTTGCACTTTCTCTAATTTCCTTTCATGCTTGGCTAGGTGTGGGTTCCAAGCTGGTGCTGCATACTCCAATATGGGCCTAACGTACACGGTGTACAGGGTCCTGAACGACTCCTTATTGAGATATCGGAATGCTATTCTTAGGTTTGCTAGGCGCCCATATGCTGCAGCAGTTATTTGGTTGATGTGCGCCACAGAAGCTGTGCCTGGTGTTATACTCACCCCAAGATCCTTTTCCTTGAGTGAGGTTTGTATTCTCCGGCCACCTTGACTGTACTCTATCTGCAGTCTTCTTTGCACTTACCCAATCTTCACGACTTTGCATTTGGTGGGGTTAAACTCCGGGAGCCAGTTTCTTGACCAGGCCTGCAGCCTGTTCAGATCCCTTCGTAGTTCCGCCTGATCCTCGTTTGATTGAATTCTTCTCATCAACATCACATCGTCTGCAAATAGGGACACTTCTGAGTCTATTCCTTCCGTCAAATCGTTCACCTATGCCAGAAACAGCAGGGTTCCTAGGACCCCTGTGGAACCCCACTCGTTACAGGCGCCCACCCTGACACCTCGTCACGTACCATGACTCACTGATGTCTTCCTGACAGGTATTCCTTGATCCATTGCAGTGCTTTCCCTGTTATACTTGCCTGGTCCTCCAGTCCAATAAAATACAATCTACCCACCCCTCTCTCTTTTATCTTACTATTGTCACACTGTCATAGAACTCCAGTAGGTTTGTGACACAGGATTTCCCGTCTCTGAAACCGTTCTGGTTGTCGTTGATAAGCTCATTCCTTTCTCGGTGCTCCAGCACTCTTCTGATAATCTTCTCCATGACTTTGCATACTATACATGTCAGTGACACTGGTCTGTAGTTTAGTGCTTCATGTCTGTCTCCTTTTTTAAAAATTGGGACTACATTTGCTGTCTTCCATACCTCAGGCAGTCGGTCTGTTTCGGTAGATGTGCTAGAAACACCTAGGAGTCTGAGGACACAGCTACATCGTCGGATCTTAATACATGGAATTCTTCAGTTGCAACCCTTTAGGCATGACCTACTTCCTCATCTGGATTTGTCAAATGTGATACCACCTACGACTCCTGCACCTCACCTGCCTACTGTATTTAAACCACTTCTTCGCACATATGCTGTATTCTTTTCAAGATTGATGAACTGATTACATCGACTCAAGGCTGAGGGACTGATTACCTCAAACTGCTCCTGTTTCACCATTCTCCTTTGTATGGACTGATGAAGCCACTGTGTGGCGAAACATTTCCTCATTAAAGATACCCAAGTGTTGCACATTTGTCTAATTTATCAACTTCATGGTTCTCTGGTACAATGTTTACAATCTGTAAACTTGGATGTACATTAAATACATTACAAGTGATCAGTAGTTCGGAAATTTTTGTGCACTAAAAAATACAAAACCGTTCAAATGGGAGCAAATAATACACTTCACATATATTATATTGCGAACATGTTATTATTAAGTTTATTCTCTATAAGGGTTACAATGTGGAGTTTACAGGTTTTGGGTATTTTGTGGTTTACATGTTATAAAATACTAATTACAGAGGGAGCACTAGGACACCTAGCATGGCTAGGACACCTAGCATGGCTAGGACACCTAGCATGGCTAGGACACCTAGCATGGCTAGGCATTTCAGGCAAACTTAGATTAATTCTTAACATTAAATCCGTACAGATTATGGTATTAAGTCTAAGTGACTACATTATAATTTGTGAGTTTAGCAACGTGAATGTTTTTGTTTTGGCACAATACAAAGTGTCTATATTGGAGTATCATAGGCAAACTTATGACTAGTTAGGATTTATTATTTTAAGATTAAGATAAGTATTTCCGTGTTTATAGTCAGTGGGTGAGTGAGTGTAATTGTGAACCACCAGGTGGTTATCATGTAGTTAGTTGTCGGGGTGTATCAGGGAGATAAGATGTTTTCTAACTGTAGTTTTGAAAGTGATGAATGTGTCTGCAGTTCTAGAGTTTTCAGGTAGGGTGTTCCAGATTTTAGGTACTTTGAAATACAATGAATTTTTGTAAAGGTTTAGTCTGACACGGGGAATGTCATAGAGATGTTTGTGTCTGGTGTTATGCCTGTGGATCCTGTAACAACTATGAAGAAAGCGTTTTAGGTCAAAGTTAATATTGGAATTTAAGGTCCTGTAGATGTAGATTGCGCAGTAGTAAGTGTGGATGTTCTGATATATTTACTATTATATTTACTATTATATAAATATGGAAGATAATCTTGGCAATATAAACACAAATGCAGTATAATGTGATCCTTTATTGACTACGTTTCGCCCACACAGTGGGCTTTTTCAAGTCACAAACAGAACTACCTGGGGTGGAAGGAAAGCGAGTATTTATAGTCCGGCTGAGGTCAGGTGAAGAATGCTGCATCTGATGATGTACCGAGTTGGGTTGTAGAGTCTAAAAACTTGGGTAGCTTGGAAAGGAGACTGGACAAGTTTGTGAGCAGACCTTCTACAGTGTTCTTATGTGGGATAGCGATGAAGAAGTTTCTTGGCAAGTGGTTCAGCTATGTTATAGAAGCCACTATTCTGGTTGAAGTTGTCGGATATAGAAATAAGTGATGATTCCAGGATTCTTCGGTATTGGGTGTTGTCTTCTGTGGCGATAAGTCTTGAGTTTCTGTAGTTTATCAAGTGGTTGTGTGAATTACGGTGTTGTACGCATGCATTCCTTGTGTCGTCAGACCTGCTTGCGTATTGGTGTTCTGAAATACGTGTTTGGAGGTCCCTTGATGTTTCGCCCACGTATAACTTGTTGCAGTCATTACAAGGGATTATGTATACCCCTGCAGAGGATGGAGGCTTGTCCTGCCTACTACTGGTGATGTCCTTGATGGTCGTGGTTGTGGAGGTAGATACTTGGAATGATGTTTTGGCAAAGATGTTGGAAACATGTTTGGCAATGGAGTTGGTGGGAAGGACTATGTATCTCTTCTCGGCAGTGTCTTCTCTGGGTGTGTTGAAGATGTTTAGTGCTCGCCGTCTGCAGTCTCTGATGAAGTGACGAGGATAGTGGAGTTTGGAAAATACCTGTTCAATTATAGTGCATTCTTCCTCAAGGAACTCGTTGCTGCAGATTCTGAGTGCACGCAGGAAGAAGCCTATAATTACACCACGTTTGGTTTTGGTGTCGTGGTGAGAGTAGAAGTGGAGAAGATCGTTTTGGTTGGTGGGTTTTCGATAGACTTTAAAACGAAGTTCGTGGTCAGCTTTGCAGAGTAGAACATCAAGGAAAGGAAGAGTGTTGTCGACCTCTTCTTCAAGTGTGAACTGGATTGAAGGCTCGACCTGGTTGAGCTTGTCTTGGAGAGCTTGAACGTTGAAGCGCTTCAACGTTCAAGCTTTTAGACTCTACAACCCAACTCGGTACATCATCAGATGCAGCATTCTTCACCTGACCTCAGCCGGACTATAAATACTCGCTTTCCTTCCACCCCAGGTAGTTCTGTTTGTGACTTGAAAAAGCCCACTGTGTGGGCGAAACGTAGTCAATAAAGGATCACATTATACTGCATTTGTGTTTATATTGCCATTGTGTCGGTATTTTATACCATTTATTTCCATCGAAGATAATCTTACTGCGCCAGCCATAAGAATCGCTAAAAGCTCTACAGGAGGTATGGAAAATCTTCCCGGAAATACTGAACCCAAGGAGATTAATGAAACAATTGGGTGTCTTTGTTTGTGGAAATGTTTTGCCAACAAGTGACTTCCTCAGTCCCGTACAGAGATGAATGGTGGAAGATGAGGAGTTTAAGGTAATCAGTCCCTCAGCCTGGAGATGATGTGTTGAGTTCATCAGTCTTGATCAAAGTACAAAATATGAAAGGAGAAGGAAGGGGGGGGAGAAGCGGGCCTTATATACTGTATAGTTGAAGCGAAGCAGTCAGAGGCTGGTTCATCGTGGAAAAATACACAGGTGGCAGTAGTTCCAGTAATATTCTAGGTTAAGGTTGTTCACAATATCTGCCGATACTACAAGAGCTGTAATGCAATAATGTTGGTAGAATTACAGACAATATGTTAAATAAAAGGGCACAAGTGCAATTATTGCGACGTTTTTTGTGGCAACGTTTCGGACTCCAGGAGCTGTGTCAAGCCACAATAAAATGTCGCATTAGTTGCACTTGTGTCCTTTTATCTAACAAGAGCTATAGTGAAAAATTATCCATAAAAATCATCAAAAGCAAAATAAAACTTTGAAGACCCCAAGAATATTATAGACCGTTTCCTACACATAAATATTATAGAAGGTCCCTTATACATAAATATTATAGACACGTACAACATCTAGGTATCTTTGTTGTAGACGTTTCGTCACCAGTGGCTTTATCAATACAAGTTCTAGAACATAATTTGAAGACAGTAGAACTATATACAAAAGATGAGGTAATCCAACCTTCAGTGTTGGAGTTGGTGTGAAGAGCACCTTATTCGGGAAGATTCTGGAACACAGGCAAGAAGGCTGGAGCTTATATGCTAACGTCAGGTGGAAAGGGACGGGTATTGTATACCATTCTTGTACAACTTGTCAGACAATGCAGCATCATGGAATCTTGGTTCTGAGAATATCTAAATAACTTCACAGCTAACCCATCCTTTGGGTAGGACCTACTTCCACTGGAGAATCCCGCATACCTGTGACTATGCCCTGGTCTGCAATCCGTCCCTTTCCACCTGACGTTAGTATTGAACATTAAAATGGTATAAAATACCGACAGGTTGTTAGGTAAGACACTTATGCAACAGTTAGGTATCTTTATTATGAAACGTTTCGCCTACACAGTAGGCTTCTTCAGTCAAGTACAGAAAAGTTGATAGAAGCAGAAGATACTTGAAGACGATGTAATCAGTCCATCACCCTTAAAGTTTTGAGGTGGTCAGTCCCTCAGTCTGGAGAAGAGCATTGTTCCATAGTATGAAACAATATGGAGATGAAGTGACAGGATGGAGCTTTTTATAGCGCCAAGAGGTGAGACGTAGGCCACTAGGAGTTAGTATACATGCGCCAGCCTTCTTGTCTGTGCTCAGTGTTTGATGTCAAATGGGAGGACTTCACTACAAGCCAGTCTCTCCATGCCCATTTAGACATCCCTGCGCTGAATCTGTACTGAAAAATTCTCACTGACAGAGAGACAGACAAACTTGAGACGCGGCATAACTACTGGACCTCTCTTCTTGACGAAGACATTCGCAGACCCACAAACCAACACAACCTTTTCTACTCCTTGTATGATCCTGCTCCTAACCCTATTTACAGATAACCTTAGGAGTTTTCTCACAGGTACCTTGCGCTGTTCGTCCCACTGTCCCACGATCTCCTTAGCTGCTGGGTTAAGCCCTGGCTCTATTTCTACGACTTAGAACACTCCTCCCCACCGCTATTCATCGTCTGTCCCATCTTCCCTGCTTATCCCACGGGGATCTTACCTGCACTTGTCCGTTCGTTCATTCGCCTGTGTTACAGAATCTTCACGACTACTGTACTCTCCACACCAACTCCAAGGCTGAGGGACTGATTACCTCATCTTACGTATATAGTTCTACTGTCGTCAGATTATGTCCTAGAATCTGTATTGATAAAGCCACTGGATGGCGAAACGTCTACAATAAAGATACCCAGATGTTGCACGTGTCTTAGTTTTCATCTTGTCTGTATTGTCTACCATTCTTGTACATTATAGACGGTTTCCTACACATAAATATAATGAATATACAGAATATAATGAATATACTTATATTTGCGTCCTAATTCTATGAGTAATTTTAAAAATTATTCTGCTGTTTAAACTATGTGAATGAGTCAGTATATGATTTAGTTAAGAGAATTAATTACCCTATTTTACCGTGAACAAGACGCACCGGTGTCGAGGCCGCAGCGTCCCCTTTCCCCACAATTCTGACTGACTATATTTGGGAAGAAAAAATGATAAATGGCACTTCGGCCTCCAAAATGCTGGGTAGATTTTCGAGGTTTATTTTTTGAAAAAATATGATCTTCGACGCCGTGAAATACGATAATTTTTCTCAAATAAGCATCAGGAGAGACGTAGAATGAGGGGAGATATCATCGAAGTGTATAAGTGGATGATGGGCATAAACAAAGGCGATATTAATAAAATACTGAGGGTGTCGAACCAGGTAAGAACCAGAAGTAACGGATTTAAGGTAGACAAATTTAGGTTTAGAAAGGACATAGATAAGTACTGGTTTTCCAACAGAGTTGTGGATGTGGAACAATCTTCCGAGTAGGGTGATAGAGGCTAGGACCTTGGGTAGCTTTAAAAAGTGATTGGACAAACATATGACTGGGAGGGGCTGGGTTTGATTGGTGTCGTCGGTACGGGAGTAAATTATTGGGTAGCTTTGGGTAGCAGTGGTTTCGATAAAAACCTGCCTTGTGTGGGCCAGAAGGCCTTCTGCAGTGTTCCTCCATTCTTATGTTCTTGAAAACGTTTAGGCTGTAACTATTCTGAAGGAACTGATTTCCGAGTTCGTGAGAAACTGGGGAAGAAAGTTGCGTTATTTTAATTACCAATAACGAACAAACTTGCGTTAACTAATGAATATATTTCTGCACTAAGGGATGAGTCTTCCTGAAATATTTGAAATATAAACATTTTTACATTGACAGAAAGGAAATTTGTTCATGTCATCGCTACTTCATCTTGGAGGAGCCGTGTTAGCTGGACGAGTCTGGCGACTCTTGGGCACAAACCTCCAGCAGACAGTCAAACGTTACAATGGGGAAAGTTCCTCAGTTGCTCTCTCCTTCCGTACTTTCTCCTCCAGCACTTTCCTTGGCACTACCACGTAAGTTCTGCAACAGTTCTACTAAATTTGCATGCTAACTAAATACTGATGTGCATAATTTATAAAAAATCGTAAAATAAAAAAAGCTTGGTGTATTTCCTGGTCTCACTGTATATAATGTATTATGTAAATTTGTATAGTGAATATTTGACTTGTATTTGGATTAATGGTTATTTATATATTAAGGAGAATGAGTAGGTTGTCATTATTTAGCGCGATAGTCCAAACTAGCCCACGAATATACCCACATATATACCCACATATATACCTTTACAGAACCAACTATAGGAAATAACCTGCTTGACTTGGTTCTTGCCAGCAGGGAATCGCTAATTAATAGTCTTGAGGTTAATGATGAACTTGGGGAAAGTGATCACAAATCACTCAGTTTTAATATATCATGGAATTACTCTAATAATGGCAATCAAGTTTCTGTCCCTGACTTCCACTTGGCTGATTTCTTAGGACTGAGAAATTACCTGGGAGGGCTGAACTGGAATGACCTGACTATGGGTCAGGTAGGTGGTGATGGTTGCCGACATGACATTTTCCAGAGCATAGTTCTAGCTGCTTAGGCAACTTATGTTCCAAATAGGGAAACCAGATCAAGCAAATACGATCCTAAATGGATGAACAATAAATTGAAACATCTCATTGATCAAAAGAGAGGCATTTATAGGCGAATCAAAAGAGGAGAGGGGCAGTTAAGAAATCAATATATTCAGTTAAAGAGAGAAATAAAAAAGGGAATAAGAATGTCAGTAAGTTTGTCAGGCAGGAACGACCTCTCGTGAACCCATGGTGAGATTCATTAATTAAATGACGCTTTTTAATGTGACTTCTAATAATGTCAGCTATAATTTATTCTAATAACTTGCCCACTATAGACGTCAGGCTTATTGGACGGTAATTTGAAGGAATATACTTATCCACTGATTTGAATATAGGAACCACATTAGCCATCTTCCACAACTCTGGCACAACACTGGTAAGGATGGACGCATTAAACACACTCGTTAATGACTGACTAAGCTCCATCTTGTATTCCTTAAGTACCCTGGAAAACAACTCTTCTGGTCCCGGGGACTTATTTTGCTTCAGTTTATCTAGCTGTTTAATAACCATGTCCCTCGTGACAGTAATATTAGTTAAAATTCATCAGGAACAAAATAATTTTTAATTTCTGGAATCTCATTTACATCTTCCTGTGTAAAAATTGACAAAAAATAGTCATTAAATAAGGAACACATTTCCAGTTCGTTATCCGTCAGCTGTCCATTCCCAATTTTCAGAGGTCCTACTTTTTCCTTCACCTTCGTCCTATACACTTGAAAGAACCCCTTCGGATTAGTCTTTGATTCATTAGCAACTCTGATTTCATAGTCACGTTTAGCCTTCCTAATCCCCTTTTTTACTTCTCTTTTAAGCTGAACATATTGGTCAGTAAGGTTAACCTCTCCTCTTCTGATGCGCCTATAAATTCCCCTTTTCTCCCCTAATAGATGCATTAGCCTTTTTGGGATCGTTATTATTAGACCTAATTTCTCTCTGGGGAATGTATGTACTCTGGGCACGATGTACATTATTAAGAAAAAATCATCAACACAGATCCCTTCGTAATCATAAGTATGATCATCGTCAATAAAATCATTCGCTAGATAACCCCAGTCGAGATTAGACAGGTGTTCAATAAGTCCATTATAATCGGCAGAACGAAAATCAGGGATTTTTACCGTATTATCATTATTCTTGTATTCCCAGTTAATGCTAAAAGTGATGGATTTGTGATCGCTTGAGCCAAGCTCTTTAGTGATCTCCAGATTATTTACGAGTGTTTCCTTATTTGACAAGATTAGGTCTAACAAATTATCACCCCTGGTAGGCTCTGTTACGCACTGCTTCAGAAAACAGTCCTGAACTGTTTCCATAAAGTCGCTGGACTCCAGATTACCTGACAAAGAATTCCAGTCAATTTGACAAAAGATAAAGTCCTCTACTATCGCTATGTTATTGTGTCTAGAAGCCCTAACAATTTCGTCCCAAAGATGTCTCCATCTATCCTGATCCAAGCCTGAAGGTCGGTATATTACACCTAGAATTAGTTTTTCTTGACCTTCTACAAACTCTACCCAAACAGATTCTGTTACTATTTTTATACCTGTTTTGATGCAACAATTTATATTTTCTCGTACATATAATGCAACTCCTCCCCCCTTCCCATTACATCTGTCCACATGGAACAACTTAAACCCTTGAATATTACACTCAGCAATCATATCTCGACTCTTTAAATCATACCACGTTTCAGTTAATGCAATGACATCAAAGTTCCCAGCACATGCTACCAAACGTAATTCATTAACTTATTTCTTGCACTACGACTGTTAGCATAAAATACAGTCATATTTTTTTCCTTTGCACCTTTTTCCTATTCACCTTTGCTTTTACATAATTTCTGTAATTATCATTACCTCTAACTAATCCTAGTTTATATTCCTAACAACACCCTCAACTGAGCTAGCAAGAAATCCCACACCTGCCCTGGATAAGTGAACCCCATCCCTGGCATACATGTCATTTCGGCCATAGAAGTGGTTCTAGTTGTCAATGAATGGTACTGCATTATCCTTACAGTGTTTGTCCAGCCAACAATTAATACCAATTGCTCTGGACAACCATTCATTTCCAACACCCTTTCTTGGCAAACTTCCACATATAACAGGACATGCCCCCTTCTTCCTAATTATGTCTATTGCTATCTTGTACCTTCTAACTAAATCCTCACTTCTAAGCTTGCCTACACCATTGCCTCCAGCACCGAGGCAGGTAATCAGATTGATCCCATTACCGTTCATGATGTTGTCAAGCCGGCTAAGAATATCCTCCATCCCAGCCCCAGGAAAGCAAACCCTCTGTCTCCTACTCCTATCCTTCAAGCAGACTGTCTTATTCTTGTACCCAACCCAACAACAACAACATTGTTTTTACCTTCCTTGGTGTCGTTCGTCGTGACGTTCCCAGTAGTCGACTCACATTCGTCGGGTAGCAAGGAGAATGTGTTCGATGTTCACACAACAGTTTCCACAGCAGTCTCTTTCTTCTTCATCGTTTCTACCTCTTCATTCGTCTTCTTGATCTTCAACTTTGTTCCATGCTGTCCGGCCACTGCCAGGTTTCCTTCTTGACCTAAGGACTCACAAAGGAGGACTACTACGAATCCTCTTGTTTTCCTCCGTTCAATGCCGTATCTCTATCTTCGCTACCCTTAATTCCTCCTTAAGCTGCTGGTAAAATTGCTTAAAGGGGGGCATCTTTAGTCCACAAAGAGTGATTCAGTCCACGGAGAGTGATGGTTCAGTCCGGTTTACACTGTCATCGCTTTGTAGACTATATCATTCCACTTCCTAAAGTTTTGCATAGATCCTTCTTCTACATCTTCAGTGTCCAGATCATTCCACTTGATGACCACTCTGAGGATGAAGAACTACTTCCTAACATCCCTGTGACCCATATACTTTTGTAGTGTAAACCTTGGTAACAGTTACCAACAATTTGGTTTGCAAAGATATATAAGCAAACATTAGGGCATACTTATTAGAAAACGTTTCGGTCTTGGGACCTTGATCACTTCTAACATACACAGGTTAAAATGACAGTATATACAGGCAGAGAGTGAGGTAGGAGTGACTCATGGTGACCAGAAAAAATAATCATATACGGATGAGGACGGGTAGACAATGTGATCACGTGACTCCTGTGTATAGTGTATAGACAACCTACCAACAAGGACGATCCTATACACCATCTTATATCACAGGAAGTGCTTCATGTATTTGTTTTGACCTCCACAACATTGCAAGCTCCTGATGATATGTTGATTGCAACACGAAAGGCCTAGAGCTATCACTGAACTTCCCCGTGGTTGTTATATGCATTATATATATATATATATATATATATATATATATATATTTTATATATATTTAATATATATATAATATATATATATATATATATATATATATATATATATATATATATATATATATATATGAATATATATGTATATATATATTATATATTTTAAAATATATATATATATATATATATATATATATATATATATATATATATATATATAAAATATTGTCAAAACTGCTTTTTATAAAACAAGATTCAATTATATTCCTGTCGACCATGGACTTGCTTGATACTACTTTCTCAACTTTTTAAAAAATCAATTGGAGGGTTAAAATCTCTTACATGAATAAATAGAGCATTGGAATCTTGTCAACTTCTAATGCTATATTTATGTTGTTTTAATCTTAGTTCGAGATTTTTACCAGTTTGACCGTAATAAACTTTATCGCAAATTTTACAAGGAATCTTATAGACACATCCATCAGCATTTTGGGGGAATTCTTTACAAAGGTTTTTTACTGTATCAAGATTTTGAATACAACTTTAATATTAAAAGTCTTAAGAAGAGAAGGCATATCAACCAAGTTTTCATGGTAAGGGAGAACCAACATATTTTTAGTTGAATAAGGCTGGTTGTCCCTTTTTGGATTGTAAAAAGTATTTCTAGCAACTTAAAGATTTATCAATTACATTTCTGGGTATTTTAAAATCATTACCTATTTCATAAATTTTTGGGTATTTCCTCATCTATGAACTCAGGACTACAAATTCGTAAAGCTCTCAAAAACATTGATGAGAAAACAGACAGTTTGACTATCTTGATGCGAGGATAGAGTCAAACTGTCTGTTTTCTCATCAATGTTTTTGAGAGCTTTACGAATTTGTAGTCCTGAGTTCATAGATGAGGAAATATCCAAAATTTATGAAATAGGTAATGATTTAAAATACCCAAGAAATGTAATTGATAAATCTTTTAAAGTTGCTAGAAATACTTTTTACAATCCAAAAAGGGGCAACCAGCCTTATTCAACTAAAAATATGTTGGTTCTCCCTTACCATGAAAACTTGGTTGATATGCC